TCATTATGGGATTCACAAAACTGCGTAAAGTTCCTCAGAGGAGTTTTTTGGTTGGTTGATTGGGTTGGCTTTTGTTTTAAACACAAGGCACTGTTATTCTTTTGGGGGGCTGGTGCAGATAATCTTGAGGTGATAGGGCTGCGTGACCTTACAGGAGGATGACAGGAAAAAATACCAGTGATTCCCCAGACTAGCAGAGATGTTCAGTAGCAGTGGGGCTGGTGCAGGATACCTGCTGGTTTAGTACCATGCAGATTTTCTTTTTAAAGCTACTCTCCTTTGAGACAAAGAGATGCTGTAGGTGAGCTCTTTAGTTCCTGCTTTCTGTTCCACCTTGTGTTCTGCTGATTATATTTTTTTCATGCGTGGCTTTGGCTTGCCATCAGTAACACAACTAGTACCAATTTATACACAAAGAATGTGTTTATTAACGCCATCTTTTAGCAGGCAAAGTCTGTCACTTCTGCTCAGTTAACTACAGTAACTGTCACTCATTTTATAGCTGTCACAGTGTGGCCACCTCAAAACTCATTGCTCTGACATTTCTCTATTTTTTAAAATACTAATGCATGTGATGGATGGGGTTTGTTTTGTGCAGGTCTGAGTGCAGTTCACATGGTGGTGATGGCAAATAGCATGTCCTGCCTCAAACAGCTGATTGCTGCTGGAGTTAATATCAATGCTCAGGAACAAAAATCAGGACGAACTGCATTGCATTTAGCTGTCGAACAAGAGAACATCCCCTTGGCAGGTTGCCTTTTGCTTGAGGTAAGGGCAGAATTTCTTTTTCCCACATCTTTTCACTTACATACTTAAAAACTCTTGAAAATCCTTAAGTGCTTCAGAGGAACAGAAGTAAGGGGGGTTTCCTGTTGACTTGATTACTTAAATTGGTGTAATGGCAAAACTATTGCTAATGTTACTCGTTACTACCTGTTCAGCTCTGCTGGTGAATCTTTTGTCAAAGTTGTGGAATGTAGTTTGTGACCCTGACCTGAGCACATATGCTACATTTAGTGTGCACTGAGTAATCCCAGCAACCCGTGAAACTGCTTGTGAACAACTGCTTCATCTGTGTGAAGTGGAACGTGGATACAGGAGTGCATAGAGGGATAGTTGTGTATGCCTATGAATATTTTTCTCATCTCTGAAACACCTTGATCATAGCATGCTTAATTCTACACACCCACAGCTGGCTGTGGTAGCTTTCCTCAGTACCCATGTGTGACTGTGCCTCCAGCCTACCTGCTGTCATAAGGAGCAACAGGAATTCTGTGCACACCAGTTCACGCTCCACACACCGTGGGTAATCAGGTGGCATGCGGTGAAGAGTGGCTTTTATCTGCCTGAGCTATTTGGATTTCTGTGCTGTGCCTCCTGCTGGAGCACACCATCTGTTCCTGAATGCAGACAATTGGAGTTACTTTCTATTTCCTTTTCAGACAACGATGAGTTTTTACTCAAACAGGCGTGGAATGGTACTTGCCTGCACAGTAGCAGTGCATGAGTCTCTGCAGCTGTATTGTACAGACATGTGACACTTTTCTTTCTGTCATTCAATAAAAATTCAGGGTGATGCAGATGTGGACAGCACTACATATGATGGAACAACTCCTCTTCACATAGCAGCTGGAAGGGGCTCTACAAAATTGGCAGCAGTTCTCAAAGCAGCAGGTATGAAAATAGATTTTTGCTGGAGAGTTCTCTTTCACAGTGACAATTCAGGTTAGAAGGCTGCAAGCAGATAAGAATGTGCCCCTGAACTTTTAATGAGCAGGAGAAATGAGATGTTAAAGCCTGAAGGTTTGTTTTTCCGCAGGGAAGTCCTACTTTCAGGTGCTGTGCTACTCTGTAGCACCATCTAACGGCTAAAAAGGCAAATAATTTTAGTCAAGAAAAATACTTTGGCACTCTTGGAAGCTTTTTCAGTGTTTCTTTTGTAGTTTTTTATAGCTGTAGCAGCAAAGAAGAGACCCTGTTACACAGTTGGGATAAGTGTTGGGCTTCTTTAAAAACAAAAAGTAGGTCACTGAAAGACAAGCTCGTTTGTGTCTCCTATTTCATATCACTGTGGAAGAGTTAGGTTTGAGTATTTATTGAAATTGTATTTCAGTTGTATTTAGACCTGATTTTTCTCCTTTGAAACAGAAATCCAGCCTTTCATTGCTCTGGCTGTGTGCTTGGTCTTTGTAATATCCACATTTTCCCTGACACTATAAAAAGAAGCACCACAGCACTGCTTCATCACGTACATGCTATGCTCAGTGTGAGCCAGGAATGAGCCTCAGTCAGTTGATAGAATCGCAGCTCAGTTGTTGGGACCTAACATGTGTCGTGTTTTCCCTCTTTACAATGGAGAGTAGCTTTATACAGAGATGTGACAGCATTTAACTTTAGTTGATAAAAAAATTAGCTAAATTAGCCAATTTGCCATTCGGAGCTTAAGTACATATTTTAAATATTGTTGGAAAGCAACTTGAAGCCTTCTCTTAGGAATTCTTTTGCACACTTGTTTTCCAGGTGCAGATCCTCACATTGAGAACTTTGAGCCATTGTTTTATCTAGATGACATGAAAGATGATGAGGATGATGATGAAGGGATTGTGCCTGGAACAACACCACTGGATATGGCGGCCAACTCTGAGGTACGTGATCTGTTATTTTAATAGTAAACAGTAGCTCTCTCAGCTAATTCCTTTCACTGCATACACAGTTATTTCACAGTGGTGACAAGCTACTAATTTGCCATCAGAATTTAAACTAATTCAACCACAAACCCCCTACATGAAATAGCATTGGAAGGAAGCTCCACTTAACAGACTACTTGAACAGGAGTGACCAGGCACTTCTTGAAATAGCTGCACTACCACCTTTAATATGGAAAAGTATTTAGCTGGTTGGGCAGCTTGTGTTTGAAGGCCCATGTGCAGAGATGCTCTCTAGTGGGTTTCTTTGCTGCATGTTGAGCATTCTTCAGAATTGCAGACTTTATGTGCAGAGAAAATACACTCTTCTGTCCTACCCAAATAGTTGATTAGGCTGCATGGCCCATGCTTTAGTAGCTGATTATGTCCACTTGGTTTGGTATGAGTGTAAGGTACAAGCAGTCAAGCATTTCTGATCATTGTGCTGGGGAGTGGTACTAGTATTAGGTGAAAATCTAGGCTTTGTTTTAAATTACTAGTTGCAGACAGGTAATAACTCCTCAAATAGCCACTGCTCCTGCTGATTATTTACTGCAAAGACTTCCTCTGTATCTTGAAAACAGTTGCCAGATGACATACGGCAAGGGCGATTAACTTCTCAAGACTTCTCCCTCAAGCTTTGCACAGGTCTTCTACAGTATCTTTAGTCATATTGTTCCTGAGGCAGAAAAAACTGCCCGTTTACAGATGGAATTAGGACTTTTTACTGAGACTTGTCAAGATACTGGACACTAACTAGGTTTCTTTATTCTTTTAGGTGTATGACATATTAAATGGCAAACCCTATGAGTCAGCAGTGGTTTCAGAGGATTTACTGATGCAAGGTAACATCTATAAAGACGACTGACAGTATACCTCTAGTAACTTAGTACTGAAAGTGTACTTGCAGAAGACATTGCCCTGCCATAGCTTGTAACTGAAACAGGGAGGGAGAAGAGGTACCCTCTCACCCCTCATTCATAGAATGAATGACACAAAGGAGTACGTTTTCAGTATTACTTTAGTAAACACTGGGATTGATAGACACTAAAGTACTGTTTAATTTGGCTTTGTTTTTACTTAGAAATGGAATAGTGCATGATTTGTATAAATAATAAACTAACATATTTCTCTGTCCCCCAGGGCATTTGAGAGACCTGAAAGAAAGCTCGAAGATGCAACTTTACAAACTATTGGAATTACCTGATCCAAACAAAAACTGGTCCACTCTAGCACAAAAACTGGGTCTTGGCATACTTAATAATGCCTTCAGGTTGAGCCCTTCCCCATCGAAAACTCTGCTCGATAACTATGAGGTAATGTGGCTAGAACAAGTTCTAAAGAACTCAGACATGTCGAGAATGTTGTCTTCCTGCATGGTGAAACAGTGCAGTCCTTCAGCTTTACCAGCCTGGCTGATGGTAAACATCTGGTATCTTCTCTCTTAGGTTTCTGGTGGCACAATTCAGGAGTTGATTGCTGCTTTGAGACAGATGGATCACACAGAAGCCATTGAAATCATTCAGAAAGCACTATCCAGGTCACAAAGCTCATCACACCTGGAGGACAATACAGCAAAAGCTCCTCTCTTATCATCGCCACCCACCTTTGCAAAAGGAGAGACAGGTAAAATTGACCCTGAAACTTTATTTAAAATGCATTTTATTCAGTTCTCCCACCTCGCCTTGGGCTGTCCATACATCAAGAGTTTCCTACACACAGTGCCCCCGCTGCTTCTCTGTTTCAGAAATATTTTACTGCAGCACAACTTGCTCATCACAGATATTTGCTAAGGCCTAGAGGAGAGGGGGAAAATGGACCATTTGAATCAGTAGCCCTGCATTACAGTACTGATTATACTGCCTCCCTTTTCTAAAACCAGACGTCTGCCATTTACTGATGATAAATCAGTATGTAATGTCCTTGGATGTACTGGGGATAAGTTTCAAAAGATAAACTAGTCAATGATCTCCCAGGCCTGACATGCTGGTGTCCAACTTCCTCCTCAGAGCAGGGCCAGTATTACATTACATGAGGTCACCCATGTCTTGTCCCATTGAGTTTTGAGCATCTTCAGTTGTGGAGGTCCTCTATTAACAGAAAAGCAGAGGTTGTGAGAAGGCAGTAAGTCATCAGGGAGGTTCAGTCGCTGCCTGGCCAATAGCCTTTGTCTCCCCTGTTCAAACACTGGTAGTGCTGCCAGCACCCTAATGTGGAAACTTATACCCTATGTGCAAATTCTGTAAATATTTCTAGAAAGAAAAAAGAAACACCACAGTAAGTCCATCCTGGTTTAACATTTCCAGTTTACACCCTATAGAAAACCGTTCAGTCAAGAATGAACCTTCACACCTATCCAAAAATGTGCTTGTACACATATTGCCTCTTTAGATTAATCTTGAAGGGTAAGAGAGGTTCTGCTGCTTTGCAACATGAATGGATTGCATCACGTCACTTACTTATTTTAAGATGGTTGTTTAGAAAACTAATACTGAACTCTAATGTGATGACCACTGTCCTACTCACACTTGAGCCCACATCGTACCTTCAGCTCGGATACTGTCCTGCAGTCAGGCACTCCTTTTGTGGATCTTGCACAGAAGACAGCTGCTGCTGACTTCTTCATATTTCAGGCTCACTTAATAAATGAAAATTGCTCAAGTATTTGTCTCAAAAAGAAATCTGTAACTGAAATAACATGAGAATATTTTAGGAGCCTCATCCTGGGGCTGTACACTTGTACAGTCTTTGAATCTGAGAATTTTTCTCCCTACTACTACCGCACTCAGGCAGAGTCCTTACTAGTGTGGTGACAGCACTAGAATCAGGAGAGCACCAGGCTTCTCGCCCCATCCAGGCTGCAGCTGCATTCAGTCTCTGCCAGCAGTGCATCACATTACGTGTTTTGGTCAAGTGAAAATGTTCAGCACAGGTTTTCAGATTCTAGTATCCTATAGAAGAGCTTTAACCCTATTGGTTTACATTCCTTAGGCTTTTCTGAAAGCAACGTTAATGAAGCAACACACATGATAATATATTTCCCTCTTCTCTCTCCCTCAGGCGAGCTCTACAACAGCAAATTTCAAGACAGTGAAAGTGTGTGTGACAGTGGTGTGGAGACCTCCTTCCGCAAACTGAGCTTTACTTATTCGGACTCTCTGAGCAGCAAGTCATCAGTAGCACTTAGCAAAATGACCCTGGGTCATGGACATGAAAGTTCAATGCAAAGCAATTACATAGCCAACTAGCAATATTCAATTAGCAATATGCAGTTACGGGACATTTACATCGGTGTCATCCTGGCCAGAGGGAAGTGAACTGACAACCAAAAGTGCACTGGAGGAACCACACACAAACCTGAACCAACAGCAACTTCAACTCCGAGCCAGTGCATACTTCCTCAAGTACATCTAAATTGTATTCATTTACACACCATATACAGTAACTAGGGCTCTACTGCCGCATTAATACACAGGACTGGACACTGTGAATGACTATCTGAGCTTTTCTGGCTTGTGAGGATTTTCCTTTATAGGTGAAAGTCACTCCTTGTTAGTGCATAATACCAGCTCAATAAGAAGAGGTAAGGCACACAGAGCAATCAAAGGGTGCAGTTTCTAACTGCACTCGTCATAGTTTTTGCAGCAGAGTTGCATGAAAAAAGCGCATAAAATAGCTGGCGAAGAAAAATTATTACTTTAATCACAACAATGACAACCTGGAGAGAAAAGATAATCCTAAAAAAAATAATCTTGTATATTTCAAATAATGTATTTAAACCTAACTTTGGTGCCTCTTATTCAAAACATTTTGCAAGTTTGGCATTTTCCTATTGTAAATAGTTTTTTTTATATATCTTCCTTTAAAAAAGAAAAAGTGTGCTTTTTAAATGCTTATTTTTATTTTACTTTTATAATAAAACCCCAAAATGAATTCTCTTGTTTACCTTGCTGTCATTTTTACATAGCTATCAAGTGGAATTACAGATTTATCGTTTCAGGTTTCGGCACTGATACAAGGATCGTGCTGATTTCCAAGTACTGCCATACATAAAGGCTCACAAGCCACCTCTCTTAACACTTAAGTATCTTCTATGGTGGAAGAACAGGAGAATCAGCTACTGCTGAGCAGCTGTGCTTTGGAACTAAAGCCCGTGACTCATGGTCTCTTTTAGTTCTCATCATTTCAGCAGCAGAGAATCATCTATGCTGAAACCATCTATTTAACATCCCAGCAAAACTCTGATGAGACAGTTCTTTGGGCTACCTAGAAACTCCTCTATTTCTGAGCAGTATTTCTTCTTGTTTCATGTTAATTCTGAGATAGATAGTGAGTGTAACTTACAGATGTTGGCCTTACTAAGGATGCAGAACAGGTATCTGATTTCAGGATGAAAAAGCAAAGAGCAGTATCATACCGTGGTCACTCACTTGCAGGCAGTTTTCTTGGCTCATAGATGGAGATTCACAGTGTTGTTCTTGGCCTTGCCTAGGCTTCAGTAACTTGGGCGTCACTCCTGAGAAAATAAATCAAGAGAAACTTTGAGAATTGTTAAGAGCAGTAGTTGTTGTAATGAAAAAAGATCCTTGTGAAATGATTTTATATCCAGCTGGATTAGTGAGTATGTTGCTTACTTCCAGAGAAACAAGATTCATTATAGTAAAAATGCCACTTTCTTTCAGTTGCTGTATGCATAACCTACACATGCAGTGTTAAAGGCTTTTGTTCAATTAATGTAGTTGTCCAGTGTTCTCTTTGCATTCCAGCTGTAACAGAAAAAGGCAAAGCGTCTCATATTCTGGGGATGGAGGAGCCTTTTGTGCCCTGGCAGAGCTGCTGTCCAAGTTAAATGCACCTGCTGCCACAGAATTTCCAGCACAATGAAGGGGCTGGCAGAGACTTACTGAGGTTTCTACAATCCTGCAGGTAACCAGGACATCCCTGGCTGCTGATTCATACCTTTTAGCCTTATTTCTGAGCAGCTCTGCTTTTAAACCACCAAAAGACACCTGGGTCTGTATTTCCTTAAGCACTTCATGACCAAATGCTGCATAATAGCTATTCATCAGGTTAGTGATCATGCACTAAACAGCAGGACATCTCCCTAGGCTCTGGGTATTCAAGGGCTATAAATGGCAGTTTGGCAGCTTCTTTCCCTGCAGCATTTCAGTTTCAGTCTATTTAACAAAAGAGGCTTTGGGCCCTTTACTCCCCCACCCCTGCCTTTGTTTAGAAATAGGAAAATATTAACTTAAACGTATTCTCACCAATTCAAACAAACAGGAACACTACATTTTTACAGTTGAGTCACATAATAGGACAACTTTTCCCATCTGCTTTTACCCTTAGCACTTAAGTATGTGTTGCAGGCATGACACACAGTTTGTCAGAACTAGGCGAGAGTAGAACACACCAGCTAGTGTAGGAGGCTACAGAAAGTGGCACAACATCTAGTAGGAGACATTGTTCGCTGGCAGTGTTCAAGGCTAGGCTGGATGAGGCTTTGAGCAACCAGGTCTAGTGGAAGGGGTCTCTACCCATGGCAGGAACATTGAAATTAGATAAAGTCCCTTGCAACCCAGACCGTTCTGTGATTCTTGTGCAGTCTTCATTTGTCAGCACAAACCTAGGGGAGAGCCTAGTGTTTACCTCAGACAGCCCAATGAAAAGAAAATGCTAAAACACAAAGGTTTATTCTTTCTGCTTTATCTTTCTTCTTATTAGTAGGTGGTCATCCTGTAGAGGGCATGCTAATTCCTGTCCTGATGGCACCTCAGAGGTCAGTCTCCTTGCAGGTACAAGATGAAGGCAGTATATAGAGGCACCAAGCTTAGCAAGAGAAAGTGTAAGTGATGCAGAGAAGTCCTGGCAGAAACATTTAAAGCACATGTATTCTTCCTAACAGGTAATTGTCAAGATACATTTACATGCCTCAGCATCATATCTGCGCCAGACACAGATTTATCCATACACCTCCTTGCCCAGAAAGGAAGGTGCCATTACTATTTCACAAGTGTGATGGAATAAACTAAAAATATAGCCCTGCAGGAACCCAGAAATTTGCTGCCTGAGAGCTCCTGTCTATACCTGGCTTACAGAGAGAAACCTCTCTCACTTAACCTGCTAAAGAGAAAGTAGTAATGGTGTAACTCAGCCTTATGTTTTCGTTCAGCACAGTAAGCTAGCATGTGGACCTTGCTACACCTTGTAGCACAGGGTATTGTCCTTCTCTATTCCATATTACCTCTAGGGGAACAAAACTAAGAAGGGTATTATTCACTGAGTTCTCAAAAGTCAGGAATAAGTTGGGTTGTTTTTTTTTCCTGGAATGTAGCGAGGTGTAACCTTTGGGTACCCTCAGTCAAGTTTAGTATTAAATTTTAAATTAATTACAGAGATGACCAAAATCTGAAATAATTCCAAACTTAATCCGCACTTGCAGTAATTGGAACTTGCCACATTAATTTGCTACTTTACTCCACTAATAAACACCAGAAACTTGTGGAATGTAGCAAAATTAAGTTGTAACAACGGAAAACTACAGGTTTTCTCTTCATCTGATGTAAAAAGGATTATTCAGAAAGTTAAACTGCCCTTGACCTTAGGTTGGCTGCCACAGCTGAAAGTTTTTGGTGTCATCTTGGGATGTATTTACAAAGTTGGAAATCTGTGTGGTACTGGGATGTTCTAGGCAGCATTCTGAGATTTTGTGGACTGCAGGAAGGATAAGAATCTTACCTGCATCTTCTCTCCCTTTTCTGAGCAACTAAAATGCTGTTTTCCTACATTAAAGGAAAACCACCAACTCTCCTCGCTCCCTCTAAGTGATTGGAACAGTGATGCCCATTCATTAGCTCAGGGTGCAATGGTCAATACTCACCCATCAGCCACAGCTCTCCTGGAGTGCACAATCAGCTCTTAGAGCAGCTCTGGAGTAACTGCCAAAGGCGCAGACCAAACTTTTTCTGGCTTCAAAAGATTCCTACTGCTACAAGCAAAAGACAGCACAAGTTAATTACCAAGGAGTTGCTTTTCTGTAGTCAAGAGTTTTAGGAAGCAGTCTGATGCCCTGCCTAGAGCTAGGCTGTAGTATGTATGTTATTTAAAGCCTGTACAGGTTCCCCCCATGGACTCATTTAAGTGCAGCTATAGCAATTTTTCAGCCATCCATTTGCCCTTACTATTTTCACAATACAGAAGAGCACTAGGAGGTCAGCGAACTTCATGACACACTGCAAGGGCAAACACTTGTGACTGACTTAACATCAGTTAACCTGTGGCCTACAGCAGCATGTGCCAACATTCCAGTTGAGTCAGCACACACGTGTTCATGCACACGCATAGTAGTATTCATACCTGCTGGGCTAGCTAAGACAAACATGTTTATCAGGAAGATGGGAGCATCATGAATGCCTTACTTCTCTTCAGATGTGCAATCACCTCAGTATCTTCTTAAGTATCCCAGTCAATAAATTCTACATTTGGCACAGTACAAACCAAAACCCGTGGCCAGAGCACTTGCAGAGGGGTAGCAGATGCATACTTCAATAATCAAAACTGACATTTACTGGTCTTTACTAACTGCCTCTACTTCCTACAGTAAAATGGCCTTCTCTCAGTGTTGGCAGGCACAAAACCAAGTAATTTTAAGGTTCTATATTCTTCACTTAAGCTTTGGTTTTCCACCCTAATTAAAGTAAAACTGGGGCTTTCATTTCATGATCTTGTAACATCTGACTGGAAAGCAGAGTTATGTAAACCCAATTCTTTGAATGGAACATGTCCTTAAGCATTCAAACCACAAGTTCCTGGATGACTCAATTTACCCCCTCAAAGGGTAAGAGAGAAAACTGCAATTCTGGCACCATAAAGGCTGGCTTGTAAGCTACAAAACTCAACTGTCCTTGACTGAGAATAAGAAATGTGCTGGCCTGTTCCTCTGCACTCAGCACTGCTACAGGTCACTGAAGTGGTCTCTGCTACACATCTCCAAAGCCAAGAGGGGACTAGTAGAAGTAAAAGTACTGAAGAAAGATGTGCCTCTAAGGCAGAAAAACTGTTCAGGCCCCAAGGTATGCAAACAGCAGGTAACAACAAAGACTGGCAAAGAGCTAACAATATTTAAGAGAGGAACTTAAGATACATTCACATGCTGCTTCTTTCCTGGAAAAGATGTAGTAGAACTTGGAAAAGCTTCCAAGGAAGTGCTCAAGCAAACTGGAACAAAATAAATCTTTGCTGTGTGGCAGAAGGTACCAACAAAGACATGCTCTCTAAAGCTCAAAATGGTCTTTGTGGGTCCTGAAGGGGTTCAGAGCCAATATCTGTCAGAGACCAGTTTTAGGACAACAAATTAGACAATGCCATACAAATTGCAAAACCTATTCTCGAGTTCTGTTCTGGAAGGGCATTTGTCATGGCTCCTGCCAAGGGGAACTCTGACTGTTGCTTTTGCCATCTAGGAGAACAGCCCAGAGAGAGTTCAGACACAAACTGAGGCCTGTCAGCACAAGCAAACCCAGTGGTCCATTGAACAAAACATTGCAAGGCTGCATCCTGAAAGAATACTGATGAGACCATTCCCCTCTACAGTTGTAACCAATAACTTAATGACACTGAGGATAAACACCATGACACTTACCAGATGCTCTTCCCAATGCTCCTGCTGCTGATCACCAGCCCGTCAGATACAAAATGGCAATACAGGTGCTGCTGAGTGGCCAGGCCACAACAGTCAGATGGCTATGGACGGATGTGTCCATAGAGGCAATAGTATTCTGAAGATTCTTTACTGTTGCATTCCTATCTTTGCCCTGATCTGAGGTAAAGGCAGAATAATGTAACCAAATATAGCACGCACAGCAGGCAATGGCAAAAGTACCAAGGGAAAATAGTTAACTGAGGTACATGCTACAGCCACTGCTGCATGTGGGAGAATATATATATATATATATATATTTATATATATATTAAGATAATTATGAAGGGTATTAAGATAATAATGAAGTGAACCTCACACAGTATGCAATGGCAAAAGTATCAAGGGAAAATAGTTAACCAAGGTACATGCTACAGCCACTGCTGCATGTGGGAGAGAAGAAAATAGCACCTATAAATACATACCCATGACAACACCAGGAAACCAAAAGAACATATTCCGGGTATTAAGATAATAATGAAGTGAACCTCCCCCATTAATTCTGTTTTGAACTCAAGCATTTGCCATAAGGAATTGTTAATCTTTCATAACAGCATCTAGTGCTGAATTAAAGCTTTCCAGTAAGAAAGAATGGACCCACTCTTTAGGGAGCTTCTGACCTTCAAAAATAACAATAATTTAGAAATTGTCTGAACTTTTTTATGCCAATCCACATAAAACTGCAAAAGCAACAGCAGAATGCTCTTCTTTCTGCACAGCAGTGCTGAAAGGCATTAGTTGCAGAGCCACTTCATCAATTATTGATCACATGCTACATAATTTCTTTCATGATTTTGCCTAAAACTCATGACAGGCTAAACAAGGTCACGGTTATCCACATTCAAGGTTTATGGCTACTAGCAAACAAAAAGCTCTTTTCTACATCTCCAAAACTTCACTAGCACTAAGAACAAGTATCATTGACCTTCATATAGGCCTATGCCTTTGAATTGTCTTTTGATTGTCTTTGAAACATGTAACTCTGTTAAAGTTTCATTATTTAACAACTATTAAGTGCCCTTTTGAAATTCTATCTGAATGCTGCTGAAAGAAATTTCTGCATCAATGTAAGAGAAAGACATCAACCAACCTGCCCTTTTCCTGATACACTGAAGCAATATTTATTAATCATATTTATTCCATGTTTTCTCCACATTTTTTTCATTCTTACCGTATATTGTCTGTTGCTGCTTTGATTCCCCTTTGATCCCAGGTCACTGAAAAAACTGAAAGATTTTTCTTGTGGTGTTAGCCCAGGATGCCTCTCAGATAACTTTTACATTCTTTTATCAATGTCTGCATTTTCTAACAGTTATGTTTTATTCATGACTATCATTTTCCCCATTTATTTTACATAAACTATAAACATTGGTACATGCATGTATTTTGATTTTTTTCATGTTTTCTTTCAACTAGGGCAAGTTTTTCATCAGAGAAGCCCTCCTATACAACTGCAGTTAGTTGTTTTGGTGCTCTGAAAAAGCATTTTTAAGCAACTTCCATTTATCATTTCCTTTTCATCTTCAAGTTTTTTGTCTTGCTCAGGAGTACATCAGTTTTGGTTAACACCCAATTAAAAAAGCACCAGAGATGACAAAGCACCAGTCAATAAGCTCATCTCTTTGCCCATTAAAACTGTGATCACTGCAAGAAAACAACCCCCAGTTCCAAGCTCTCTAACTGACCAATGAAAGATGCAGCTGCTCTCCCCACACGTGCTCAGACCACAGCAAGCATCACCCATGTGGTGCTTTTACAACAAAGATGGTCATCACCAGTAGAGCTTGTTCAAACACCTTCCATTGTAAAGTGCTGATTCTGCTAGGTACTTTTCAAGAAAATTAATACTTGATTGGGCTGTGAGAGGATCCTTGTGGAATCCCAGCAAGATCCCAGCTGCATTTCAAACCACTGCTGACAGGCAAGCCCAGTGTTTAGCAACCTGCCCAAGGCACAGCTCAGTGGCCTCAATTCCCTGAGAGCGAAACCCTCAGGCTCCCAGCTCCACAGGCTACAGCAGCCCCTGATGCTGAAGCAAGCTTATTTTCTTTGTATCAAAGGCCAAAGTGAGACAGCATTTCTGTAGAAAACCTAGAGCATTTTAACATTTTAAACATTTTAAAAACAACTTACTCAGACTAGAGCTGAAGCACCATTACTTCAGATGGACTAAGATCTGTGCCACCAGATCTAACCATAAATCAACAGTGTCCTGTATAGGGATCCCACACAGAAAGAAGTAAAAATAAGGTGTTGAGGTTTTTCCTTTGTTAGAAAGAGAGAAGGATCAGTGTGGATAACAAGGCCACTCACGTGGAATGCCAGGAGGTAACAGAATGGCTGTGCAGCCAATGCCCAAGCTGAAACAGCAGCCCCTGCACTATACATCTACTAGAGAAAAAACAGTCACTTGAAACACTGTGGTCCTCTCAGATGAACATTTCTTATCTGTACTATCCCCTTCTTCTTTTCACCTTTGGCCAACTCTTTCCCCTGTTCCTTTTCCTACAGCCAGGCATATCTTGTACTATGCCACATTATGCAGAAGCCACACAGCAGCAAAAGGTTTGTGACTGCACTTGCCACTCTCCAGGAATAGTCAAAGTTAGACATAGAGCTCTTAAGGTTACTGCTCACGTTGCATGAAAACAGAGAAGAAAACAAGTCTCAGACTCTGTTCCCCTTTCAGAAGGGGGAATAAGATCTGCTTGATGTCTAACTAGACAGCCCTGGTTTCACGTTTACTTGGAAGCCTACCTTGCAAGGAGGCAGGCAAGACACCTGATCAAGTGACAGCCATAGATCTGAAAGCGGAGGACTAGAGCTTTCCTGATTTGGGTGTAGATAGATCAAACAACTCCAAGTGGGGCACACCTGTGGGGGCAGTCCCAGCTTTACTCCCTGCCCTTCCCCTTGCCACCAGCATACCTTGCTGTTTCACTTACAGCATAGTGAAACTGAAAAAAAAAAAAAAAGATTTTTAAAGCCGTAGTCTAGAGGTGCATATTTGTGCTGCCTCTTAGGATGAATTCACAACTCCAGTCTCATGGGGACTGGAGAACTTGGACCAGCTCTTTCCACCGACTCACTTCCTCCCATTTTATACATGGGATATATTTGTTCCATCACCTAAGGAAGCTTTACTTTCAATACACCACATACATTATATGCAAGCTTTGCTGTTGTTATCTTTACATTGAAGCAGCAGATAAAATTCACACATGACAGGAATAGACATAATTTTCTGCAATCAGTTCAAATTGTATGTCACTTCAGCTTCATTCAAATTCTTCAAGGTTTTTTCCTCCTCCTGTTTCACGCCTTGTCTAGAGGGAAATGAGGTATCTTCAGATGATGTCCATCAGAGAGGTCAAGGTTAGTGACTCCTCCAGTTCTTCAATGCTCGTAGGTTCCCAAGGATAAAACATAACGACTTTCCTCTTTTCAGTCATGAGGAAACCATTCTCACTAAATCTGCCTTTTATACTCCCTACATCCAGAGAAACAAAAGGAGCAATTGCAGTAGTATGAAGATCAAATATATAAATGTCATCTTGTTGGGAAACAGAGGCCTGGAAGAGAAATGTAAAAATAAATAGATAAATATATGTATTAAAGAACCCAGTTACATCCAAACTGGGAAAGACCTGCTATGTCAGTAAAACAGACTGAACAACCACATTTGATCAAAATTGCTGTTCTCTTCTGGAAATCTTGTCTGGAACAAAAAGTCAAACCAACAGGATTCTTATGTAAGAATCATGTAAAAACTGCAAATGTTACTATAGCCTTTCTATGAATACTATAGATAAGGCCGACATCTGTGCTGTTGCGTCATTGGTCGCTCAAGATTGACCCAGGAAATGACAGTCTTGTTCAGAATGTGTGGGTTAAAGCCCTTCCTGAATCTTCATTAGCGAAGACAGGCCTTCCTCATAGGAGAAGGAAAATTCCTATCTTCAAACCCGGGCTGATGGAGCTCGTCTAGCCTTGTATGGCCTTCCGTCAAAGAAGGACACTCTTACAAAACCTATGACCTGTGGACTTTGCTGTCACCGTCCTAGCTAACTGGGCCGTGGCAGTTAAACCTCAGGTTTAAAGGATGGGGCCAGTTCTGCACAAGCTGCGCCTCACCTAAAAAATCCACTGCTCAGAGGGGAAGGGCTTACTCTCACTTCTCTGTATGGACAGGCGAGGGTCGAAACGGTAGGTGACAAGGTGCATGGGAAGCTGCAGATCCGACCTTGCATGCAGGCGGACCAGCGCATGGGTAGCTCGAGATTCCTCAGGAGATGACAGTCCTGGTCGGACACTTCCTGATTGCCTAAGCACCCTTTTTTCCGACCAGATTTGCATATCCCACATGCCCTTGGTCATCATGCTTGTAGTAAGTGTGGTTAAAGCCCTTTCCGTATCTTCACTCACAAAGCCAAGCCA